AAGCTTCTATGCAGGCCACAGCCTCGAGAGTCCAAGGGTCAGGGTCGCCACTGAAGATGACCGTCGAGTCCTCCTGATAACGTCCATCTCTGTTACGGCACACCAACATCTCCTTTCTTCTTATTCCTGGACACATTTATCTTTGTCATGTCCGCAGTTTTTTTTAGAAGATTTCATATCCGCAGTTAGGAGTAGCAGTTTGGTGGGATGGTTTAACCAGAGATTTCAAAATATTCAACCGACAACCAAAAGTCCAAGAAACATCATATGTTTTTTTTCCTGAGATGTAAGAAATATTTTATGTGAGCCTATCAAAACTCCTGTCAAATAGAGCCCACATACACACGACAAACGGAAGGATTGCAGCCCATTCACCACCACCACACAGACACGCTGCCTGTTGCAACCCATCGGAGATACCTATGCTCTGCTCCGTCCGCCGCCGTCGCCGCCATGCTCCGCCTCCGAAGCTCCGTCCTCACCCGTCTCCGCCGCTCCCAACTCCTCTCTCTGCCGCCTCCTCTTCACCCCCGCAGACCCCATTCCCTCGAACCCTAGTAGCTTCGCCGTGGAGGAGTACCTCGTCGGCACCTGCGGCCTCACCCGGCCCCAAGCCCTCAAGGCCTTCACGAAGCTCTCCCACCTCAACTCCCCCGCCAACCCCGACGCCGTCCTCGCCTTCCTCTCCGGCCCCGGCCTCTCCGGCACCGACGCCGCCACCGTCGTCGCCAAAGAGGCAAAGACCCGCGGCTACTCGCCGCCAAAGTGGACTACTTGAAGAACACCTTCGGGTGGTCTGCTGCTGAGGTGGTCACTGCTTTGTCTAAGGCTCCGACGCTGCTCAGGATTTCTAAGGACATGCTACAGCGCAAGTCCGAGTTCCTGCTATCTGAGGTGGGATTGGAGCCCATATACATTGCTCATCGACCGATAATTACTTGTCTTAGCCTGGAGGGCCGGGTCAGGCCCCGGTACTATGTTCTCAAGTTCCTCAAGGAAAATGGATTGGTAGATCGCGAGCTGAGCTTCTATACTGCAGTCAGTACGCCTGAGAAGTATTTCATGAACAAGTACATATGCCCTCACAAGAAAGCCGCACCACACCTCGCTGAGGACTATGCAACCGCTTGCATAGGGGAGATACCAACTAATTTCTTGTTTAGATGAACCAGGAACAGGCTATGAAAATTCGTAACGTGTGTATGGCGCAATAAAGTTTTCACTCTGCGTAGGAAGCCGGTAACTCCTGCCTCGTTGTTTTATGCCTAACTGGACGCGGGCTATCTTTTGTAGTGTGTTTTTTACATGCCAGTTTGCTCATTGCTGACTTTTGATGTAACTGATAATTTGATTCCTAAACACTGATATGTTGTTTGTTGTCATTCCTTAGAGAAGATATATGTTATGACCGGACAGATTTATGCCCGTAGGAGGCTCATCGGGCAGGTTTAATTAGGGGCTTGGTCCACAAGTAAGACTATTTTGAGAATTAAGCAATAAGAAGAATTCTATTTCCCGGCTCCCAGAGGAACCGGGCCCTAACCCTAGCCGCCTCCCTCTCTCAGCCGCTGCCTCCCTCCTCTCTCATCGCGACGGCGCCTGTGCGCAGGCCGCCGCGCCCTCGCCCCTCTCAGCCCCTGGTCTTCCCCTACAACCTAAGGAGCAGGACCGGTAGGACCCTGGGTTCTACCAATTTGGTATCCAGAGACTCCGGTTCGATCATGTCTTCATCAACACCCACGCCGCCGCTGCCCATCGGCACCACCGCCTCGCTGTCCGCTCCCCCGATGACCACTGACGAAGCGCCGACCCTGCCGGGGCCGATCACCACCGCGGGTTCCCCAACGCCGCCGACTCCAGTCACCTCCGCGCCGTCGACGACCGCCGTCGTCACGCCGGAGCAGGTCACCACCACGCTGCGGGATCTCGTGATGGCCTTCCAAGGACTCCATCTGTACCTGGCAGGGTCGTACGCACCACCGCCGGCTGCGCCGATCGCCGCCTACGGCCACCCCGCGTTGTCGTGGCCGTCCTAGGGCGCTCCCGCAGGCCACGGGCCCCCGCTGTTGCCGTTCCAGGCGGGCCACCCTAGCGGACCGCCCTCGCCGCTGCTGCATCATCATCAACCACCAGCCGCGGCCCCTCTCTGGCTGTAGTGGCCCACTATGGGCCCCACAACACTCGTCGCGCCCGTCCAACCCCCATCGCCGACGCTGCAACCACCGGCGCCACCCCTGCCCGACTCGAGGGCGCCCTCGTAGGCCGGCCTGCCCATCCATCAGGTCCGGTTCCCGCCCTCCCCGTCGCCAATACCAGCCTAGGCGGCTGGGTCTTCGCCATCACCGGTCTACACCACGGCTCCCGAACAGCCGACCCCGTTCCCGCAATTCGGCGGGCCATCCAGCTTCGCGGGTCACTACCCGGAGTACTCCGACCAGGCGTCACCGGCCGCCCTGCTCCGCTCCTCCGAGCTAGCTTGACACGGCGCTCCGGCACAGACACCGCCGCGGTTCGCCAAAATCGACTTCGCCACCTATGACGGCACGGAGGACCCCCTTAACTAGCTCAACCAGTGTGACCAGTTCTTTCGCGGGCAGCGCACCCTCGCATCAAAGCGTACCTAGCTCGCCTCCTACCACCTCCGCGGCGCGGCACAGACATGGTATTACGCCCTCGAGCAGGACGAGGGTGGCATGTCCCCTTGGGAGCGCTTCCGCGAGCTCTGCCTCCTCCGCTTTGGGCCTCTGGTCCGCGGGAGCTGCTTGGCGGAGCTGGGCCGCCTTCCCTTCACCTCCACGGTGCAGAACTTCGCCGACCGCTTCCAGGCCCTGGCGTGCCACGCATCGGGCGTGACGGCGCAGCAGCGGGGCGACCTCTTCATCGGTGGCCTCCTGTATCACATCCGCGTGGACGTGGAGCTTCGCGGACCTCAGGATCTCCAGACTACCATGTACTACACCCGCGCCTTCGAGTGTCACGCCCAGGCCATGCAGTCGGCAGCCCCGGCTCGAGGAGGCCGACAGGCAGCCCGGCAGCCCCCGGCGCCGGGCCGGCCAACCCCGGCCGCTCCAACGACTACCACCCCGGCCGCAACGCGGCCCTTCCGTTGGCTCTCTCCGGCAGAGTAGATGGAGTAGTGGCGCCAGGGCCTCTGCTTTAACTGCGACGAGCCCTATACGCCGAGCCATGTCTGCCCGCGCCTCTTCTACTTGGAGACGGCCAACTACATCGAGGAGGACACCCTGGCTGACGGGGCCGACGCACGGCCGCCCCAGCGGCTGCTAAGGCTGCACCCACGGCCGCCCCGGTGACGGCACTCGTGGTTTCTCTCCATGCGCTCGCTGGCATCCGCAACGAGCGGACTATGCTTTTGCCTGTGATGATCCACGACGAGCACTTGGTGGCCTTGGTGGAAGCAGGCTCCACCCATAATCTCCTGCCCGAGGCTACCATGCGTCGCTTAGGGCTTCAGCCGATGGGCGGGGAGCAACTTCGGGTCACGGTGGCCAACGGTGATCGTCCCCGATGTCATGGGCTTGCACAGAACGTGCCCATTACCATCGGCGACGAACACTTCTCCATCACCTGTGCGGGCATTGACTTGGGTTGTTTCGACTTCATCCTGGGCGTCGACTTTCTGCAGACCCTCGGTCCCATCCTTTGGGACTTCGACGCTCTGACGATGACCTTCTGGCGGCTGGGCCGCCGCATCCGGTGGGACAGCGTTGAAGGCGCCTCACGGGTGGCGCCGCAGCTTCAACTGGCCGCGGCTACCTCCGAGGCCGAGCACCCACTGTTGGATAACCTTCTCCAGCAGCACGACGACCTCTTCACCGAGCCGCAGGGCCTCCCGCCAGCCTGGGCTTATGACCACCGTATACACCTCCTGTCGGGCTCAGCACCGGTGGCCGTTCGTCCTTACCGCTACCCGCAGTTGTAGAAGGACGAGTTGGAGCGGCAGTGCACACTGATGCTCGCCGCAGGCATCATCCGAATCTCCATATCGCCGTTCACCGCGTCGGTCCTCCTCGTCCGCAAGCCGGACGACACGTGGCGCTTCTGCATCGACTATCGCGCCCTTAATGCTCTCACACTTAAGGACAAGTTTCCTATTCCGGTGGTTGATGAGCTCCTGGATGGGGCGCGCTTCTTCACCAAGCTCGATCTCCAGTCGAGGTACCACGAGGTGCGCATGCACCCAGACAACATCTCCAAGACGGGCCGTTTCGGACTCATCACGGCCACTTCGAGTTCTTGGTGATGCCCTTTGGTCTCTCCAACGCCCCGACGACCTTCCAGACTCTGATGAACGACGTCCTCCGGCCCTACCTACATCGGTTTGTGCTCGTTTTCTTTGATGACATTCTTATCTACATCGCTTCTTGGGCAGAGCACCTTCAGCACGTCGCCATCGTTTTCAACGAGCTTCGGGCGCACCATCTTCATCTTAAGCGCTCGAAGTGCTCGTTCAGGACGCTGTTTGTTGCCTACCTCAGCTACGTCATCTCAGCCGACGGGGTTGCCATGGATGCCGACAAGGTGGCGGCCATCGCCGCTTGGCCGACGCCGCAATCGCCGCGGGCCCTTCACGGTTTTCTGGGCCTCGTGGGCTACTACCGAAAGTTTATCCGGGAGTTCGGCCTCATTGCATCACCCCTCACGCGTTTGGTGAGCCGCGACGCTTTCGCTTGGGACGACGAGGCGACGGCGGCATTTGAGGCCCTCAAGGGGGCCCTCACAATGGGGCCCACACAACGGGGCCCGTTCTTCAGATGCCGGATTTTGACCGCCCATTCGTGGTGGACTGCGACGCCTCCGATGCGGGGTTCAACGTCATGCTTCATCAGGGCGAGGGCCCCCTCGCCTTCTTCAGCAGGCCTTTCGCTCTGCGCCATCTTAAGCTCGTGGCGTATGAGCGGGAGCTCATTGGCCTGGTGTAGGCGGTGCGCCACTGGCGTCCCTATCTGTGGGGTCGGTCTTTCCAGATTCGCATGGACTACTACAGCCTCAAGTTCTTATTGGACCAGAGGCTCTCGACCGCGCCACAGCACCAGTGGATCAGCAAGCTCTTCGGCTTCGACTTCTCCATCGAGTATCTCCCCGGCCATCTTAACACCATGGCCGATGCCTTGTCTTGCCGCGACGCCGACCACGACACCACTGTCGCCGACGCTGAGGGGGCGGTCTTCTTCATCCGCTCCGGGCCGACCTTCGGCCTCTTCACCGACATTCGTCGGGCGACGGCGATGGCGGTCGACGCCCTTCTTCTTCAGCAGCAGCTGGCTGCGGGCGAGTTGGAGGAGCCTTGGCGCTTCATCGATGGCCTGCTCCTCCATGGGCGCCGGGTCTTCGTGCCGGCGCATGACGATCTCCGTCACCAGGTGATGCTACTGGCCCACTCGGCAGGCCATGAGGGTGTGCAGAAAACTCTCCATCGTCTCCGCACCGACTTCTACATCCCTGGTGATCGGGCCTTGGTCCATGACTGGGTTCGGTCTTGTGTGATGTGTCAGCGAAACAAGACGGAGACGCTATGGCCGGCTGGTCTGCTCCAGCCCTTGGAGGTGCCGTCTCAGGTCTGGGCGGATATCTCCATGGACTTCATCGAGGGCCTCCCCAAGGTGGGCGGCAAATCGGTCATTCTCACGATGGTCGACCTCTTCTCCAAGTATGCTCACTTTATCGCGCTCGGTCATCCCTACACGGCGGCGTCCATGGCCCGGGCCTTCTTCGACAGGATCGTCCGCCTCCACGGGTTTCCCTCTTCGATCGTCAGCGATTGGGACCCCGTGTTCACAGGGCATGTGTGGCGCGATCTCTTCCGGATGGCGGGCGTGAAGCTACGCATGAGCACGGCCTTCCACCCTCAGACGGATGGTCAGTCTGAGGTCGTCAACAAGGTGATTGCCATGTATTTGCGTTGTGTCACAGGTGATCGTCCTCGTGCATGCGTGGACTGGCTCTCGTGGGCGGAGTACTGCTACAACACCTCCTATCACTCCGCCCTACGCGCCACGCCATTTGAGGTGGTCTATGTTGGAAATATGCCCTAGAGGCAATAATAAAAGCATTATTATTATATTTCCTTGTTCATGATAATTGTCTTTATTCATGCTATAATTGTGTTATCCGGAAATCGTAATACATGTGTGAATAACAGACACCGA